TCAACTTCATAGCCGTTTTCGCAGCTACCTTTCACTCGTTCCTCGAAGACCAACGCTCCACTCGCCCATCCGACTTGCTCATACTCTACTTCTCAGCCTCTGCCATACTCTCGCTACCGCGCCTTAGAACTCTATGGCTCATCTCCATTGCCGGAGCGTCTAGAGGTCTCTGGACTGCCATTATCATTCTCACGATCCTAGTCGTTCTCTTGGAGTCCATCGGCAAGAAGCGATTCTTGCGAACAGAGTACCGAGCTCTTACGAAAGAGGAAGAAACTGGCTTCTGGGGTCGCAGCTTCTTCACCTGGCTTATGCCTTTCTTCCGTCTCGGCTACTCGCGGGTCATTCACATCCGGGATATGCCGGAAGTCGACAAAGACCTAGCTGGAGATAGAGCAGGGGCAAGCCTCGAGGCCGCGTGGTCGAAGCGCAAAGGGCAGAAATACCACCCTTTGATCCGCTCTGGCTTTTACGCATATCGCGGGACTCTCTTCGCCGGCGTCATAACGCGTCTCTTTCTCACCGCGTTCACGTTTTGCCAGCCATTCCTCATCACGGCGACAGTGAAATTCATGCAGACGCCCAAGACGCCACAGTCCGAGAGATATGGGCAAGCACTTGTCGGGGCATATGTTCTCACGTATCTCGGTCTAGCGGTCTCCCGAGCTGCATTTTCCCGCCACCAGTTCCGCTTTACGACAATGCTTCGAGCAGGGCTGATGTCCATGATATTCAGACAGACTGTCTCTCTTAAAGCAGATGACTTGAAAGATAGTGCTGCGGTTACTTTGATGGGCACAGATATCGAACGCATCGTACTCACGTTCAACAACTTTCATCAGATTTGGGCTGCCGTTCTGGAAGTTGGCATCGCAATATTTCTCCTGCAACGTCAAATAGCGTCTGCATCTGTAGTACCAGTCGTCATTTCTATCGGTAGGTTGTCCACGAACTGCACTCTGCTCCGCTATGCTAATGGAGATGTCACAAGTCTGCGCTTTTGGCGTCATCCCGGTCTCTAAGACCATTGGAAGGGCACAAACGGCCTGGATTGAACGTTTGCAGAAGAGAGTGGCAGTCACAGCCTCAATGCTGGGAGATATGAAGTCGATCAAAATGCTGGGTCTCTCAGGCGTGTTGTCAACCACTATCACAGAGCTGCGACGTGTTGAGTTAAGGACGTCTGAGAAATTTCGCAAATTAGTACTCTCTCAGATCCTTGTTTGTAAGTTCATCAGTATAATTGATCTCTTATTTCAATGCTAACCTTTTCGCAGCAAATATTCCTGTCGAATTTGCGCCTTTCGCAACATTTGTCATCTACAGTATAATCGCAGTCATCACCAAAGATCAAACATTGACGACAACGAATGCCTTCACCGCTCTGTCTTTGATCGGCCTCTTGACAGAACCACTTTTGCTATTTTGCCAATTCGTGCCTAACATTGTACAGGGGGTGGCTTGCTTCAAGCGCATCGAGATATTTTGCCTCAAAGCACACGAAGGATCACTGTGGGAACACCCCACACCTGCAGCGCGCTCTTCAGTCACCACCTTGAACAGGACAAGCATCGAGCTCGCGGACCATTTGACGCAAAAGTCGTCGGAAGGAATAATAGCCTCGTTCTGTAACGCAAAGATCTCGTGGTCGCCTGATTCAGACATAGTCTTTAAAGACCTATCCTTGACGATAAAGAGAGGCATCACCATGGTCGTAGGCCCTGTTGGATGCGGAAAGTCTTGCCTTATGGAGAGTATCCTCGGAGAGACATCACATAGTGCCGGGACGAGAGAGCGCATGGCTCACGGTATCGCCTACTGCGCGCAGACTCCGTGGATGATGAACGACACCGTGAGAAGGAACATCACTGGTGGCCTCCATCATGATCCGAAATGGTTCGACCAAGTTTTGTGGCTGTGCTCCTTGACTGACGATGTCAAGAATATGCCTGGAGGAGAGTTGTACAACATTGGCAGTAACGGTGCCGGCTTGAGCGGAGGGCAACGACAGCGTGTGGTGAGTTGGAAACCCCTTCCTTTCGAAAGGCAAAAGTATGGCCATGTCTGACATTCTCGCAAGGCGCTCGCTCGCGCGGTCTACTCCAGACACCGAGTTGTAGTCCTCGATGACGTCTTCAGCGGCCTTGATTCCAAAAGTGTCAGCCAGATTTCAAGCCGCCTCTTCAGCAAGGATGGTCACTTCCGCCGGAACGAGATCTCCATCATTCTTGCGACTCACACCAGTAAGACTGCCCACGGGGAGAAGTTGACAGCAACTCGGAAGTTTTCAGCTAACGGCACACAGGTGCGCTCATTCGACATGCAGATGAATTAATCGTTCTCGCCGATGGTGAAGTCCTTAGTCAGGGCCCATATGAACAGGTTGTTGCTAGCTCACCTGAATTAATCACAAAATCGAGATTAGAAGATGACAATAATCTTCAGAGGGGTGAAGAGTCAGAGCAAGCTGAGGAGGCTGTGAAACCCACACAAATCCAGAGGACCCTGGATGCCGAGGAAGACAGACTGCGCCAAAACGGTTCTTGGTCAGTTTACAAATACTACTTCGAGCGAGCTGGTTGGGTAGTAGTTGGCTCGTTCGTCTTCGCCACTTTCACCGAGGCATTTTGCAGCGGATTTACAAGTAAGTCCTCAGGGAATTATACTAATTGCTCCTATCGCTCTAACATGCGTCTTAGATATCTGGTTTCAATGGTGGGTAGAAGCCAACGAAAAACGGCCAAATGACAACCTCGGCATGTATCTTGGGGTTTATGCCCTTCTATTCGCGATGGCATGCATTGGACTTTCCGTGGAATGCTGGTAAGACCTTGAGAGACCTTGATTTCTAAGGCTCAGTGCCGCTGACCATTGCTGGCAGGCTCCTCTTCATACGGATCATCAGCGCGACAGCCATGAGCCTACATGGTGATTTACTGCACACAAGCTTAAGGTAACGCGAGAACCGACCCCAATTTGCTATCGCGTGTGCTGACACTATCTAAGAGCACCTCTTAGCTTTTTCCAGTCCACTGATACAGGTTCAATCACCAACAGGTATTTGTGCCTTATAGCGACGTTTTACTTTGTAGCTAAGCGTGAGTTTGACCTCTTCGTAATCTAGATTCAGCCAGGATCTTAATCTGGTTGATGTGACTCTTCCATCCAATGCCATTAACTTTGCCTCGAGTAAGTTTCCTCTCTTCAAAACCTTTCTAGCTACTCTTTTGCTGGGCTAACTCTTTCAAAGATGCTTGCGCTTGCATCGTGAAGCTCATAATACTATGTGTCATGGGCAAGTACTTGGCGACATCCGTGCCTCTTCTAGTAGGTGTGCTCTTCTTCGTTCAACGATACTATCTCCGCACCTCTCGCCAGGTCCGTCTCCTCGACATCGAAGCCAAGGCCCCAATCTACACCCACTTTCTTGAAACACTCAAGGGTGTTGCCACTATTCGTGCCTATCAATGGGAAGAGGACTTTGAGGAGCAGGCGACAAAACTCCTGAATACGTCACAGAAACCCCACTACATGCTAGCCTGTATACAACAATGGCTCGCGCTCGTCCTGGATCTCATTGTCGGGGCTCTGGCTCTCATCATAGTCAGCATGGCAACTTCCATTACCGATAAGTTTTCTCCTGGAGCAATTGGTGTTTCCATGGTCTTGGTCCTGGGGTTCAACAATTCTCTTGCGACAACAATCAAGAACTGGACTGCTCTGGAAACTTCAATCGGTGCTGTGGCCAGAATAAGAGAGTTTGCACAGACAACGCCTTCCGAGGAGCGTGAGCTGGGAAGCTCCGGTGTCCCTCCTGAAAGGTGGCCAATGCAAGGTCGCATCGCCTTTGAGAGCGTCACTGCGAGATACACAAAAGACGGAGATGCAACTCTGAAGAACTTGTCACTTTCAATATCATCCGGCCAGAAGATTGCAGTCTGCGGACCATCAGGCAGCGGCAAGACCTCCTTTGTTCTCTCACTTCTTCAAATGATTGAAGTTACAGAAGGGAAGATTTCTATCGACGGCATTGATCTCGAAGGTCTGGAGAGAGCGGGAGTACGTTCACGAATCAACGTCATACCTCAGGAGCCATTCTTCATCCCGGGCAGCGTCCGGTTCAACTTAGATCCACACTCCCGCGAAAGTAGTGAGACGATCAAAGCAGCGCTCGATAAAGTTGGCCTCCTGGGCAAGATCGCTATGGCAGGTGGTCTGGACAGCGAACTAGATGCCGATGGGTTCTCCGTAGGGGAAAGACAACTTCTAGCTTTGACGCGCGCCCTCGTTGAAAGGAGCCAAGTTTTGATCTTGGATGAAGCTACAAGCAGGTATAGACTTTCCCTCAACACTCGCATACCATCCATCAACTAATATTGGTTTAGCGTCGACCAAGACACGGAAGACAAGATGCAGCGAATTATCGAGGAAAAGTTCTTAGAGCAGACTGTAATCTCTGTCATACACCGTCTGAGATTCATCGAAAAGTATGACCGGGTGCTCCTCTTGAAACAGGGAGAGGTCGTGGAGTGGGATTCCCCCGATACCTTGCTCGCGACTGATTCCGAGTTCAAGAAGCTACTAACAGCTACGCAAACTCTGCATTGAGAAACAAGTAATAGAATAGTGGCATCGTAGAGATACTAGGCAATTTCAGAAGTTGGTTCAGGGGGGCAATTTGCTGTGGACTTGAAACTCCACCTATGTTAACCTTGACTTAGCGGTATAATCTGAGGTACTACCAAGACGAGCGGCAGGAAGGCAACAGCCGGCTGATCCATGCTCCGTCCCGTAAGGGTCGGATAAGTTGCGGGTCAATATGGTGCGGGGTACGTCGGTGATTGATGACGGTGCTTGGGACCAGCGACGGAAAGTTGATGTCAGTGTTCAGGGACAAATCATACATGGCGAAAGACACTTAGAACTCTAAATTACTATCAAGCAACGAAATTCAATCTACTCGCGAGCAAATCCAAGTCTTCATAGAAACTCCCCTGGACATGGCGCGGAAGATTAGATTAGGAATTATCACACCTTCTTCTAATACTAGCCTTGAACCTCTCACACAAGCCATCATCTCCGGGCTTCCGGATGTCACAGTTCACTTTTCTCGTTTTCGAGTCCTGAAGATCAGCCTAGATGAGGATGGGCTCGACCAGTTTCAGACCAATAACTTGATCTCAGCCGCGCAGCTTTTGGCCGATGCTGAGGTTGACATGATCGGTTGGAGTGGTACTTCGTCGGGTTGGCTGGGGTTTGAAGCCGATAAAAAGTTGTGTGCGGATATCACTGCGGCAACAGGAATTCCCGCGACGACTTCCGTTCTCGCGCTAAACAAGGCCTTGCAAAAGTTTGACGTCAAAGATCTTGGCTTGGTCACTCCTTACACAGATGATGTCCAGGAAGCCATCATTCGGAACTATTCACGTGTCGGAGTGAGTTGCCAGAAAGAACGACATCTAGACCTTACGATGAACTCGTCTTTTGGTCGCGTCGACGAAACTACGTTAGACGGTCTCGTGAGCGCTGTGGCGGCTCAAAGACCAGAAGCAATGGCAATATTCTGCACAAATCTGAGAGCAGCTCAGAGGGTGGCTTTTTGGGAGGATAGGCATGGCATCCTCATACTTGATACCGTTATCACAGTCATTTGGGATATGTTGCGAGAATCCAAGGTTGACATGAAACCCTTGGGTGATTGGGGAAAATTGTTCTCAAAGTAGTAAAGGCCAGTGACTGTTGGTACATGCAGGTATAATTTACATAAGGTTGAGAAATATTTCTAAGGAGCTGTGTGAAGACCTTGCCTTCGCGCCACAACACGCTCTTCGTTTGACATCCAGTCGTGTCATCATAGTCCGAATGGAAGATTGATCGGAAGTCCTCCGCCAAAGGGAATATTGACGGGAAGCCTACCGCCGTTGTTATTTCGGCCACCAAAGGGGAAGCCTCCGCCGACAAAGGGAGTATTGTCGAAGTTGACCGTGTTTGGCCCACGTGAGTCGGATGTCCATGACCAGGAGCGACTTCCGTCGCCACCAATATCGATGTTGACGTGCACTCTTCTTCGCGATCCGTCTTCATCTCTGTTATCATCTTGCTCGTTTCTTTGCTGATCTTGTCGTGAATTTTGGCGCCTCTGCTCTGGTCTGGAATTCTGTCGCTGCCGGCTATTGCGTGTTCTTTGAGGCTCTGGCCTCGGCTCAGGTCGCCGTGGTACCTCTTCATCAAAGGAATTATTTCCTTCATCATCTTCTGGCTGCTCATATCGGCGGCGTTGCTGCTGCTGCTGTTGCCTCGGCGGTGGAAGTGGCGGCTCTCTGGGTGTTTTTATATCACCGTACATTCCGTAGATGCTGTCCTCCCAGTTCTTATTTGGTTCGGGCTTCTTTTGTTCCCGGCGTGACGGGGGTGACCGAGAAAGCTTCGGAGGTTCTGTGGTCTCCTGACTGTAGCGCGAGCTCTCATCAGTTCTGCCCGTACTATATCTGGCGCTGCTCCGATCAAAGTTGTTGCTGTATGAGCTCGTATATGGTTGGCTCTGCTGCGAACCTGGTGGCGTTTGGCGGACCAGGGCAGTGGAAGGCGGGAATGGAGATTGTCCGGGGCGAGGATTACTGGAGTTGCCCATACTCCCATTGGAGCCTGTTTTGTTGCTCATTCTCTTTTGTTTTACAAGGATAATCAGCTGTCGACTCTATTGATTGCAAGCAAGAGTATTATCTATCCTGTAGACTTTGGACTTTGCAATCGGAATTTATCAACTTAGACTTACGGTATGTTATATATTTTGCAGCTCTATGCAAAGCCACGCCCAGGCAATGATCTGGTTGACAGTGGCGCCATAATCCTCCGACTCAAGATTTATGCGTTTCATGATGTCCTATGGGGCTGGCGAGAACTTGCGTTTCCTTATGGATGGGTCGAGACCTTACGATGTTTGTGACTGAACGCGTTTGAGATTCTCCCTGATGATTCGGATCAGCGAAACATCAGACCATGACTTTTCTAATTTATCGTGGCCTTGCATCGGAAAACATGGCTCAATCAGTTTTCCAGAAGTCTTCGATCTGCGCATTGTTGGCGAACTGATTTCCCCTGATGATCTGTTGTCATTGTTCAGTGTGAGGTGGTTGGAACAAGGTTCGATCCCTGAACCAGGGGTCATCTCCGTCCGATGCTCCCTAAGGTCCATCCCATCATCGACCCATTGTAGGGCCCACCCTTTATGTAGGCGCCGAGAGTTGGACGCTCTAACCTTCGATACCTCTTGGCTTTGGAAAGGTGTCTGGTAATTTGATCAAGATCATGTGCAATCCTCATGACCACTTCAGGTTCTAATCCTCCTAGCGAAAAAGATTTTATTGCCGGATGTAATGATTGAAACATAATGAATGACAGGCAAAGCGCTCTTTTCCACCCCTGGCTACAAACCCCCTTCGCCAACTGGCGACCAGCATCGGGTTCGAACCCGAATAAGTTTCCAGCCGAACAGACACAGAGGTAGCAATTGTCGAGACACCGGGCTGCTGTAGAGCTTTTCTATGAACCCCAATGTGAGTGAAGTCGCCGACACAATGTATGAGGTTCATCAGAGCTGGGTCGTCATTTATTTCCACCACATGACGAAGGAGTTGTCAAACTGGAATCTTTCACCGGGCTTGATGGCCAGGCTGTAGATCTCATCCCAGCTAATCCTCCAGGGGGAGCGCTCCACCCCGGTAGAGACATCCTCAAATCCGGCGAAGATGAAGTTAGGGGCTTGGAAGTATCAGCTGACTGTGAATCCGTTTTGGTAGCTGAGCACTAACCGTTGGGGAAGGCGGCATCGAACTGCAAGAACAGTGTATGGATGTCGTTGAACCAAGCGGTCACAGCGACGTTGACTCCATTAATGACGAGGCCGGTGACGATTCTCTTGTAGTAGCCGTTACCAGCCTTGAAGATGCCACTCTGGTGGTCGTGAGGCCAGACTATGATGTGTTAACGGCCCTTTTCTTGGCTGAAAACGAGCGGGCTGACATACCACGACGCTCGAGCGAAATTTCAACATCATCAGAAGCTCTGGATACGACAACTTTTCGATGTCAGCTTTGTATAAGCGCTGGAATCTCAAGGCTTTTTTACCGTCAGCGATGTTGACATCGCGAGTCTCGTGAGCCTGGAGGAAGCCGAGGTCAACGATGGTCCTGCCTACATCATTCATTAGATCTCGGTTATCGATTCTTGCAGGTAAAGCTCACTTTCAGGCTCCCTGTCGAGATTTGCCTCGTTCACGTCAGGAACAGGAGTGGCTGAGGCAACAGCCAGCAGGAGAGCGATGGTAGCAGCGGCGAAACGCATGGTGAGCTTGTAGATCTAAGCTAGATGAAGCGAGTGGAAGTTGATGAGATAACGTTTGAAAGTGAATGTGATGATGTGCTTTTGAATGCATAGCTGTTTCGTGGCGAGCTGAAGCCTACCTTTTATAAAAGAAATTGCAATGGAAGAGTGTTATGGCAGTCACTGTGCTTGAAAATAGCTGCATCTTTGCAAATGCTCCGTCTAGAGCTGACGATTACTGAATTCGGGTATTGCCTTTCGACTCCCCATTGAGGCAATAACTTTCACAAGCTTCCTAAAAAAGTGTAAAAGTTGCTAAGCTTTTGATCGGTCCGGGCACAATCAAAAGTTGCAAGCATCATGTTTGAGACCTGGTGGGTATTGGCTATGCAATAGTTGAAGTTGCGCGAGTCAGCAAAGTATGAGTTCAATGTTGTATTTGTGCTCCATGATTTGCTCCATGATTTCTAGCTTTTGGGGAGTGGACTTACCGATAAACGCGGTTGTTTGCTGACTACAAGGTCCGCACTAGTTGAACGTCACGCAATGTTTAAGTTTCCTAGACAGGGCACTCAATTGTGCGAATCCGTGCCTTAAGTCGGCCACGAAAGTTCTTTGCTAACTACTGGAATTAAGTGTCCGGTTCAGTGATCTGACCTGACAATGCCAAAGATAATCTCGGGTCTCCCGGCTGAATTTCTCTAAGTCATCGCTGCCATTACTTCCTTTCTATTGCTTGATATGCTTCTGTACGAGGCACCCAGAATTGAAGTTTGCGAAGACAAAAGTGCCCGTGACGTTCGCCTCACTTCTCGGGGGTTCAGAGTTCGTGCGGATACGAAGCCCTTTTGGCTAAATCGTATATTACGCTAGCACCTTTACGATACCATGCAATTGCAGCACCCAAAAGCTACAGTAGTCAACAACAGATGCGATTGTCTTCTACTGTTGTCTTGAGGCCGGGTTCTCTATATCGATCAATGTGGCGGCAGTCAGCATGTCTAGCAATCTACCACCAAGGTCTTTGCCGCGTCTAGTCAAGTCAAGATCCCTTGCGTATCTAAGATCTAGCTTTACCCACCCATTTATCAAACTTCAAGCTAGGGATACTTGGCCATGTCATTCATCAGCCTTCAATCGCGATGATTTCGGTCTTTTCATAGCATCTGTGCTACTAAACTACCTCAAGCAATCAATCATCTTATCCGGACAGTACCGACTAGACAGTTGGTGAGAGACAGTATCCACACACTTTATGCTTTTCGCAGTCTGCACTTTGGTTTAGTCACTTGCCAAATATGAACTCTATCAAAACGTGCTGACACCATGGCCTGAGCTGTGCTTGCCAACAAGCCCATTCTAGTTGGAAATCAAACAGATTAATCCAGGCGCACACGGCGACAAAAGTTCTCGTATACACAGAAGTTCTGTCCATCATGCTCCTGTAGTTTGATTTTCCTGCTGCCAGAAATTGCGATCCATGAAAAGGAAATTTGATCTCAACCCCGGCTATTCAATAGCCGTGATGCGAATGCGAAGTACACACGATCAAAGAGAAGAAAGAAATGCAGACATCAAGATGGTGCGTACTTGAGTATAATAAGAGTAAAAGACCGCCGAGCATTCTCACCACTTCCATTCGTCTCATCATTCAAATCAATACCCAAGTGTCTGTATACCACTTTCGCATCATCTCGATCTCAGGCCTTAGTTCAAAATGAAGGTTGCTGCTGTTCTCGCCTTCGCTTTCCTGTAAGACCGCACTCGCCCTTCACCTATTACAACTCATTGACTGACAACATCTTTAGTGCCCCCAATGCTGTTTCGGCTTGGATGTGCAACTGCCGCAACAGAGAGCAACCCAACATCAAGGTTGCCCTCAAGTTCTGCGGACCTGGCTTGGGTCACACCCGCTGCTGGAACTCGAAGACTAACGTCCAAGCGGTGAGATATCTCAACATGATTCAAGCTTCGCGCAGGTACTGACGTAGTCATAGTGTATCCTGAACAACCCCATCACCCAAGCGGATTGTGACGCAAAGTACGGCGGCAAGGGCGAATGGGTCGCTGAATGTGAGCACTACACTGGTCCCTGCCCTCCCGGCATGACCCAGCAGTGATTCCTCTTCACTGCATCAAATACATGTTTCAAAGCAGCATCCAAATCACTTTATGACTGGTAGAACATGCACTTTAATACACAAACTGGATCTTCTTAATGGTCTCAATGCCCTGTGGTCTTTGTAGAGTATAAAGTTCAACGTTTTTCACAGCTAGTGGACGTAGCTGTTGCCTGTGTTGACCTCGGTGGGAATCTTGAATCACCCTCTATGACCTCTCTAGCAGTCTTAATAGATGGATAAAGATACGCATTAAATGGCATCTTCAACTGGTATTTTACTTTGTGCAGACCAGGAAATGTGTCAAGAGTCAGCCACGGAAGATTTGCGGGGTTGCATATTGGGCGTACTACATCAGGAACTTACGCCTTGAAGGGGCCTCTCGAAAGGTTGAAAATGACCCGGGAAATACGGCTAGAAGTCTCCTCCAAAGCTCTCTAGCACTGTCTTCCGTATCGATTGCAAGACCCAGTCTTCGGAGCGTCTTCTCCAGAACAAGAAGACCCATTGAAGCAATCCACACGTCCAAAAAAAAAAAACGTTGGACAAAGGCTTTCTTCTGAGACCTCCTCGGTAGTGAAGAACAGTTGAACGTATGGCAAAGATTCAACGGCTCACAACATGCTAGATCTGACCAGGGATGTGGCCGGCGAGGTGCTTAGGAGTGTTTGGTGCGGCAGTTACGTCATATTTGGCTGTCCTTGCAACATGAATACTTGGGTAAAAGGACGATCTACTCAGTGATTAAAAGAACGATGAAATTCAGGATCTCTCGTTCACTCAAGAAGTGAAGATAATCGGCAACACCAGACCTCTTTAATAGTTCGACAGTCAGGGGCTCAAGGTACTCTCCCTACGAAAAGATGCAAGTGCCCTCTTCCTCGTCAAACTTCCAGGCATACGGAAGTGCCGTGGTCTTTAAGCAAATACTTCAAAACGAAGAGGTTGCCGTGTTCTAGCTATGAGATATGATCGCATAGTTACTTTCTGGGTGAACTTCTAAAGGGGCGTTCTTCATTCCAATGCCGGAAGTTTTGCTCCTGAGCGATGAAGAATTTACGGCTCGATGTGGTGACTTATTCTCATGAAACTTAAAACACCTACCGCTGCTCCGTGTAGGATCATCGCAAACCACACAAGGTAAATGGGACGCTGTGGTCCCTGACGATACTATTGGGTTGAAGCCAGGCTTGCGATAGGGTCACGAGGACGCTTTCTTTCGTCTGTCATGATTCCGCGGAACCCCCCCTGTTTTGGTACTAGTCACTCTAGGTTCGTATTGAAAGAAGATGCTACCTACTTGGTGGTTATCTCAGACCAGAGAGTCCTACAAAATTGCGGCGTCGGCCGCCCTTAGGCACCAAGACCTGGACCCAAAACTCCGGGGAACTTTGTTGAGCATACCTATCAAGGTAATAGAATACCCTCAAAAAGTCACATATAAATGGCCTTCTCGCCAAATTCAATTCTTTCGGAGATCTTCCTCCACCACACAACGACGGGAAATATCACATTCCACCACACAAGGCTTCCGCATCTGTCGCATCCACATTCACAACCACACCACACCCCACTGGCCTCGATCCACAAAAAAGATTTCCTAGAAATTATCAAGATGCGCGTCTCAATGACTTGCCTGGCGACCATCGCTTTACTTTTCGCCACCATCAGCGCTACCCCAGTGCCCGAGGAGGAACGCCGCCCATGGAGAGGTGGAATCAACGTAAGTAGACAATACCCTTGCCAAACCCACAGAGTCTCAATGACAAACGACTAATTTGTTATGCTCTCTAGGACGTAAGAAAACTTTCCTAAATTTGCTAACGAATAAGCCGCCGACTGACTGACAAAACGCTTAGTCTGGATGCTTGGTCCCATGCCTCAGACGACTTTTCACGGATTACGCGGCGTGCATGGCCGAATGCACCGGCCCTTGAGATCCTTGCAATGAGGCTGAGAAACGAAGAAATTTCTGGACTTCTTTACTCCGGTAGCCAGAGGTTATGATGCCTTAGCAGGAAGGCATCTGCACAATGAGCATAAACCACGACGGATGCTTCTCGGTCTGAAAGTGGCTGTAGCCTGTCAAATTTAGTCCATCGACAAGAATTCAACAATCGAAGGAAGGTTAGGTGGGATCGACATTCACGTATTCTACGATCAGTCTACCAATCTCAGTACAAAGTTTTCAAGTAACTTTGCCCTCGTGCCTATCGCGGACATATCGTGGAATCGATGCATATACCAAGTTTGCAAAGCTGTTTTTCTGAGTCCAGTTGATTGCAGCCTCAAAGAGAGACGTGTTTCAAGACATTACTAAGCCACATTATCCTGTATGATGATTCAAGAGAAATCAACACATATATCGGACCGCTGACTCTTGTATAACCTAGGAGCAGCCACTGACCTGTTGCCAAATCCAGACTGGCTTCATGTGGCCTAGTTCTGCTAGCTACTTGGGCAGTGTTGGGGATATGATATCATCTACTTTTTAATAATACCACGTGTTACATGAACGTGTCACCGTGACAAGGGTGCAAGTTTTGCGACTGTTCTTCAATTGCCCTCAGCTAGAATATATATCGACACATGAACTCAAGACTCTTAAATTTCGGAGAGGCGGGCTGGAGTTTCAGAGAGGAAGGCATTGAGCCATTCTTCATCTGTCCCGATATTGATTCTGTCGTGAAACCAGGACTCATTCACTTATCGTACTTACCTTGATGAAGTGATCAGACGATATTCCCCCACTAAATCCCTAGCTGCGATTCACCGTCACGCCACCATCGCCACAACACCTCCTTTAACACAATCGCTCCCAAAATCGAATCTCCGGACCACACATCTCGAATAGCAACTGAAGGAAGTCTTTGCAAACCCTGCAAGACTCGTCAGAATCAAGTCAACACTGACTCACAGCTATGCCCTCACGGTTCACCGCAACGTCACTTCCAAGATGTGCACAATCCACATCATCAAATGCCGCGATTGCGACGTAATCGAATCGACGTGGCGTCAATACTGCCCCTCCACCCCACCGAACCGCCTCTGTCAACGGGGGCAAACAAGTCTTATCACCACGTACCTCCTCCGAGGCCACTGTGACCTCTGTCTGACGAAGACGGGGACGTATGGTACACTCGCCTCCGTCGAGACCACGTCAACAATGACACACGAAATCATGAATCAGAAGAGTAGGTCCGGAGGTTTAAATATTCTTCGCGACACAGGGTTGGCCACCAGACTTAGCATGGGATTGAAACGGATGGCATCTGAGGCCAGAAGATTCTACTCAAGTCTAGAACACGGTCTATCGAGCAGGGCCAAGACTCGATGGCAGGGCGTGAAGTAGAGGATGAGCAGAGATCTAGAGCTTATCTCGCAAAATCGAACACGTGGCTTATGATTCTACACTATGTACTCCGCCGCCACTCAGGTTTCTGACGTGGCCTTGGGATTCATGCGATGCGGTTCCATGATGTTGGTAAAATCGTTACATTTCGTCCCTAGCCATCGTTTCCGACACGGTGGGTTGAGTATGACCACTCGACGTCATGTTGCAAGAGAATGTAGATGATACAAAAGATGTATAATATACAAAGGATGTAGATGCGACTTGCACCCGGGTTCTTGTTGATGCTCCAGAATTCCAGGATCTCTCACGTCTGGTTCCGTCAAGGACTCCCTGTAAACTCCGCCATGGATAACTCAGCCCTCAAATTTGAGGGGTGGCAAGTCATTTGACAACGGTTCTGCAGGAATTCCAAACTTTTCTGGATATAATTACTGCGTACGTGAGAGTTCTAGCTTCCACTGGAACTAGGTGTCCAAGGTTTGAACAACATCAGACGAAGACAGGCAAAGTCTTCCGTGTCGCCGCGCCACCTAACATCGTTGGTTGACGTTGAAACAAACTCGGTGCCCCCCTTTGTAGACCCCTCTTTCCCCTCTGTTACGACAGGCATTAGTTGATATCACATACCAAGTCAAATTGAAGATTACGCACAAATTCTGTCCACGGAGTCAAAGATGGCTTCGTACATGCATGTGAACCGGTATGTCGTGCCATTTGGAAGGTATCACCGGCCCCGCCCGCACTGTAAGATGTGGGAAACTCCGTACCCCACCCGAATCTCCAACGAGCTCGAATCTTCGCGAATCTCGTCGAGAAGTCTGAAAGCAACGCTCGGATTCTTCGTACAACGCAACACGCAGGATGCGGTCCCACTACGATATTGAGAAAAGCAAGAAAAGACAAACTTAGAGAAATAATGCATCCCCAGGCAAGGGTGGGAAAACCCTCAGAATCCACCTGCATTGGGAAGTTGGGTATTTGTACCATGAAAGCTGATACTGGTAAACGAATTGAACAGAGAGCCGAATTGAGCGGTCACGGGCTGACGATTGGCTTTCGACCGAGGCAGGGAATGATCACCGCTGACTGCCAATTACACACTACTCCGTGGGTAGACATGTCGATCCTTAACGCGGGCACGCGGGCTTGCGTAAATTACCCATGCATTTTGTGGCCAAAATGATGCGGCCACTAATTATCCCACATGTCCAACTTGCGCGGCCTTAGTCTGTGATCTGCGCTGGCGCAAAAAGTTGTCGAACCGGAGCCAGCTCCGACTCAGATGTCACGGGGACTCGAATATTGGGCTCCAAGTCATCAGGACACAATTCACGGCGTGCGCAAGCCTTGCCATGAAAGATTTGGTAACTATCTGTCTGTTATCAATTGGTGGACGAGCTCATGCCAAGAATCGGTGCCTCACAGCGCTAGATTCCAGAAGATAATGTAGATGCAACACAGTGTCGCATTTATCCGAATGAGCAATATCAAAATAGCGGCGTAGAGCGATGCGGGAGACGTCCCTAGTCGCCGACGTCAGCCACCCCATTGCCTGTCATGGTCTCATAGACCCTTAAAAGCAATGGGCAAGGGATCGTTAGGTTTCAAAGCTTTTGCACGACTCAAGAAGCGTCTCCACTGACGGCCATGCTAAGGGTGCAGCAGAGTCAGGAACAGAGGGAGGGCTGGAATGATAAGAAGACTCAATCTCGTTGGGCGCCAACAGTCGCCGAATCATTGCCGCAACGAATATCCGCATTCCTACAGGACCAGAAGTCAGGGTAGTAGGAGGACTTTAGTGTACCAAATATCAAGACGACTAGCGTGAAGAACTCGATAATGCGGAGGAACTCTTCCAGGAGGATGATGAACCAAGTCCGACGGTTGAATTGGCGTGGGCTGGTTTAGATAATCCATGGAAAACAGCACGCAAAAGGCATTGCAACGACATGACATGCAGGTCCCTGCCTATTTGCCTGCCGCGAACCTCTGCGATCGTTCCGCTCAAGGCGTGCCACGGTGTTGTCTCCAAAGCTGTCCAGCATGTGTCTGTATGAATCCGCTCTTCTGGGACCAACGGAGAGCCCCCATTGCCGGAAGGATTTGATGATTCGTTGTCCGTTTCAGGACAACCCAAACCATTCAACATGATGATGTTGCCCTTGCCGGATCCCTGCATGAAAAGGCCCAAGTCGGACAGTCGAATCTGCCAATCTGGTCGGAAGTGTCCGTCATCCGCCACGCTGTCGGGCAACGCCCCAGTCCCCGCTCAACGACCAGGGGCCACAGCTCTGGACGGCGGGGTAAACCTTTGCGAATACGACTTTGTCAAGTTGATGAAGCAAGCTCTTCCGTCTAGCATACCTAGGCGGTAGGATAGCTAGCCAGCCGTAGGTCTCGTGGGTTCAAAAGTTGATCATTCTCTTCATTCCCGCGAAGTCAATTGCGCAATCAGACAATGTTTTTTTTTCTCGGGTTATGCGAATCCGCGTGACAGACTGCATGGCCTGTGCAGGACTTCTGCTTTTGAGGGCGGCGCGATCCCTGAGAATCCGTCTTTTCGAAGGGATCGCCAGGCTAACGGGCCATCTTTGGTCCAACCATCGCGTCTGCGTGGCTGCGTGGCTGCGTGACTGCTGTGCTCCAAGCTACCACATCTGCAGTAGAAAAAGCATCAGCCTCAATTTGGCGGGGACCCGAGTCAAGGTTAATCGCTGTGTCCGGCAGCTTTTAGCTTGATCCTGACGGGAGGCCCAGAGGGCATTCCCGTCCAGGGTCTCATCTTAGGGCGGGACGCGGCCATATTGCTCGAAGGCACCAGAAACTTTACACAGCAGGCACCCTGAGGTCTGTGGTCGCTAGTTCGCTAATACGCCGCCAAATTCCGTGGACTTGACTGTTCTCAGGATGTGGAGGACGGTGTCGTGCCTAATTGACACAGACCTCATCATGTGAACCTGACAAGGGTAGGGATTGACTCTTTTGCGTTGTCCGACATAACCGATCGTATGTTGTCGTGAGATAGAGGCGAACTAGACCATGATGCTCCGAAGCTTCGAGGAAGCCAAAGATCCGTCGTCCCGCGACTGAAGTAGAAGGGGGGGTTTTTTTTTTCTGCCCTCGTGGTCGAGAGAATCCACGGGGCCATGGTGCATTTTTGGATACCCCCATTCCTAGTAGTGTCGATGACGTCTTGCGAACCGTTGTTCGGCTTGAGAGCGGCAGGGGCCTTGGCTGGACAGATAACCGGAGAGCCACGCGGGCGGCCCGGCCACGCCTGGCTGTCCTGCCCTTGCTGACGTGAAGTGTCTGGGCAGTGAACCACCACATCCTCCTCAGATCGACACCTCAGCATTGGCACCATGAGCTGCCGTATTGCGACCGGAGCGAATAGTCCAGACCTCGATGCAGATACTGGACGTTGGGACGACCGGCACTCGGAGGCCGAGGCCAAACAATGGCAGTTGTTGACATCCGAGGAGCGAAGAGAAAACACCGAGAGGTGAACGGTTTAGCGCAGACGAACCGGCCCGCCTAGTTGGTGTTGGTCGATGGAGAAAACTCCCGGCAGCTGAGGGGGGCAATGTTGGATGGATGAAGCAAAGGAAGCGCAAGGCTGGCATGCAGGAAGATGACGGAAGTATGTGAGTGAAAAAGAGAGAAGAGGATAGAGGGAAAGCGAGGCAAGGAAGGGCCAGGTACAGAAATACTTTGGGTCCATGAGGTGGGATGAAGGGAAGAACGAGAGCAGGAGCAACTGAGCCGGGCAATTGTACCTGCTACATCCCACATCACCAACAAGAGTGCTAGACCCTTTTCTTCGTCTCTTCTTTTTCCCCTTTTCACTTTAGACCGTGAGACCTTCCCTGGATGAACACAACAATTCTGCTCCGACTCCAATCGACGGGGTTCCGAGGTCAACAGGAACGGCCTAGAACCCAGGCACTTTCATCTTGTACCTTGCTGTGTACCTTACACCCGTACAGGTATTCGTCAGCAATGGAAGGTACCTACCGCTCACTTCCCGCAGTCAAGTGAGAATGGAAAGAGTGAGTGGAGGGCCACCAATCGTGGCTTCCACTTTCTCTCTCACTGTCCCTCAAGGTGGAACTCCATCTGGCTCCTCCCACAACTGGCACAAGACCACTAAAGTGTAAAGGTAAGTGCACACTGCACTCCAGTCTCCCAGCCTCCGTTCTAGAAAAAAAGAGGACGAGCGGGTCCCGTTCGGTAGTACCACGCAGTGCTCCATGCGGCCCCGTAAGCGCTGCCTTGCCGCTCGGGCCTATCACAGGGGTAGACGGAGCTTTTGCTCCGGCAAAGCCCAGCTCGTTCTATGCCATGAGTTGGAGATGCCCCCATTCGACTTTTTGTCCGCGCGCGACCTCCCCTTCCTTGGAGTATTCCCACCCGTTCCCCCATTGAAGGGGCCTTGGGCCCCAGAGTTGTGGCTTTGCACCCTCCAATGTACCTTACCTGACCCGGACATGGGCCTGACCTGGGGATGCAGCTGTGAGAAGGAAGGGAAAAAAAAGGTTTACCTATGGCAGGCAATGTGTACAGAGTACGGAGTACAGAGTACCTGTATCCAGAGGGGGGGGAATACCGTGGAAAAAAGAACGGGATATGGAAACGCACCAAAATATATGCCCAACCAGACAAATCAATTTTGTCTAGTATGACTAGAACTGTGCTTCACTGTCATCGCCTTATCCGCTCCATTCCGCCGCCGCCAACATTGCCCTGCCCTTCTCATCTCAACCTTTCTTCCCCTTCCACTTTTCCCTTCACAAGTTCACTCGCCCCTCGTCCGTTGCTTTCTTCCCGCCCTTCCACCCCCAGGTACAACATACATCCTACACCACCTAAACTCTTCTCCCCGTTGAGTCCGTCGCGTACACTATCCGTACTGGCTCGCCTCTCCCGCCCCGGTTCAAAGACCCTGTCCGCACTGACCAACCAGAAGAGAAGCCTTCGATATCCTCCGTCCGCGACGTCCGTCGTCGTCGAAAACGCTCCGGCCCAGCAAGGGGTCCTGGTGGAACCCATCGTGTGGCAATTCCTTCAAAACTTTGCTCTCCATTGGATGACCCGAACCAAGGTCGCGGGGCAGCCACAGCTGTTGTTTATATCAGCCACACCAAGGCCACCGGTTTGGCACGCTCTCCAACTGCCTCCGTGGTCACCTCGCCTATTATTCTCTCTGTCAGTCATTTCAATCCGGGACAATACTCTCATGTTGCCCTTTTTCAAAAACACGCCCTCCGAATCACTCGTCACACGCTGTCCGAGAGGCTCCACGTCCGTTTCACTCGGCTTTCATGTGTGTTGAGCACAAATCTGTTTGCCCAGTCTGTCGGAGACTCTTCTTAGTCTATGTCGCCTTTTGTCAAGCATACCATCCTCCTTTGTTGGAGTGTCCATTGGGTGTTGTAGTACACCCAATGCAGATGCTCGACGGGCGATGTCCGAGTCCTGTTTGTCCAAATAGCCGTGTGGGGGGCTGCTTGGTCATTTAGGAAGAAACTTAGGAAAGGAAAAAGAAAAAAGAGAAAGCAAGAGCCGACTGTAAGTGCCCTTGGCTAATACACAGTAAATTTTGGTAAATTCAATTGACTAACGGATTTTACAGCTTCTGGCCGTTATTATCAACTTCCACCACCTGGTCGATGCCTTCGTACTGCGGAATTTCCAAATTGTATTTTTCAGCAATGCCCGGCGATACGAATCTGCTCCCAAGGTCAGCCAACAAATTTCTCAAGCCTGGTGCTATGGTGGATATTGGGCATACCTTCCGCCGATGAAGTGCCGTCCTTTGAAATGCTTCACCAGTGGCTTTGGTGCTGTCAGGCTGACAAGGACCTCAGGTTGGAACGAACTCCCGGGGCCGGACTCGGGCGGGCCATTTTCGATATCCCACGATGATGGGGCGTCAACCGAAGTGACCGGCAGCTTTGTTTCCTCGAGCGCCTTGATCACCGCGGGGAAAGGCTCCCGGACCTCTCCAGAAAAGCTGAACCCTTGCCTCAAAATATCAGGCGCGTGAACGGACTATGGTCTAGACAGGGGGAAAAGAACGAACCGAAGATAGCGTCAACGATATGATCAGTAGTTTTCGCCGCCGTGAGGAAATCGTCGACGAACGCAACGTCCAAGTCCACCAACTGCTGCGCCAACCGCTAAGGAATTTTCAGTCAGCAAAGCTACGACCGGTCAACGGCAAGCCCCATGGAGAACGAAGGTCGGGAGGGGTCGATTTTTTATGGCAGCACCGTATACACGCAAAGATGCTGCCAGTTTCTTTACTCCTTCTCTCGAGAGAAGAATCATAGAGTTGTGCAATTGCATAGCGTAGCGTGGAAGGAGAACAAAAGCATTCTGAGCTCGGATGGCCAAGAGCTCAAGAGGTGTCGCCGATAGATGGTATGTAATTGCCAGAACATCCCCATGTACTATGAGCCGAACGAACCAATCGAGATAGACAAAAGCGAATGGCATCTTTACTCACCTGATACAAATCATTCTTGCTCCGCTTGGGATAGTAGATAGTGGGCTTGTAGCCATAGTGACAAAGGTGTCGGGCAGCCACTAGGCCATCGCCACCTGTACAGGGGTCCTGGTCAGATGCTTGATGGTTGAGACGGGGGAATCTTTGGAAGGGTGCTCACCGTTGTTACCGGGGCCGCATGCAACAAGAATGTTCAGACCTCGACTAGGAGGGTGAACGCGATAGACTGCACCAAGGTGTCAATCGAAAGCTTGAGCAAGCATTGGCCGTCAGGAACCCACTCGCTTGTGACACGGATAGTCCGGCAAGCTCCATGAGCTGGTCGATTGAGAAGGCACCGGTGCTCATGAGGTCCTTGTCCAAGGCCGCGGCCGCCTTTGCGCCGATAGTCTATTGGTGTGTTGCTGTCAGCGAAGCCCTCTCTGATGCTACTTCTAACCACTAACTCTGAGGGACATGTTGTCGGCGTTTCCAAGATACTTCTGCTTGAAACTTTGTGACGTTGACGTGTGAGGCTTCAGGATAGTTTCTGACGACTCCAGAGAGTTGACGTGAGGTTGGGGTGACGGTTCGAGATGTTCTGGGGAAGTAGGAAGGTGGATGAAGATGGAAGGGACGTGCGACGGGCTGACATCACTCCGCATCGGAGTTTAGCACACCGGTCAGTAACGAACCACACGACCGGACCGCAGGAACCACCGCCGGTTCGGCAGTCACCGACAGACCCACACAGTCCACACAGTGTTCTTACAGTACGAATCGAATCTCCCACACGCTGCCACGCTGTCCATCGGGTTCAAGTTTGCCCCCGAAAATAGGCATGGAAATCAGATTCGTGTAAATTTTCGTGCTTCACTGATTTGTTCAATAGTCAAATGCCACCGGACTTGATACCTTAGCATACCCTTCACAAGGCCCATCATTCGATCAGAATCCTCCCCCAATTGCCTAGAAGCCTAGAAGGGAAGCTGTTCGACAGCGTAATGGTGTCCCTTGAAATCCTTAAAGCCGACGTCTCTCACAGGATACCCCCCAATATCGAGAGCCGCCTCGACCCACCCATTGTTGGTCTTCCCTCCCCACGTAGCCTCAGCAAAAGCCCGCATCATATCGGTGCCATTCAGCAGCGAGCTCGAAGTCCACAGCTTCCCGTCATGTGCCCAACGAGTCTCAACCCAATCGACGACCGGAATACTCTTCTTCATGGCAGAGACAATCATGCGGGGGCAAGTCGCCGTCTTACCAGCCAGAAGGCCAGCCTCGAGAAGCGGGAACATACCACCACAGATGGTCAAGAAGGCGCTGCACTGCTCATAAACCTTGCGGATGAAGGCGAGCTCGGCTTCGCTGGTCTTGTACTTTAGGTCATGAGCTCCCATGAGTGCGATATCCAAGGGTGGACAAGACTCAAAGGAGTCCTGGGTGGTGGGTGTCAGTGTTAGAGAATCTCTCTACTGGGACGGTGGTGCCATGTGCTGCTTACGGTTGGCTGAATCTGAGCTCTGCTCTTCATCTGGGCCGGTTTGCCGTCCTCGGTGATCCAATGTAGGTCAAACTTGATATCGTCCTCCCACATCTCCTGCGGTAGGTTCAGCATTTGACGGGAAGTCTTATCGGTCCAGGCAAAGAATTCAAAAGGTGCAACGTCGAGCATTTCGGTGACGCTGTAAATGTCTCAGCTTACTTGTGGCAGGGAATTCGAGGAATTATGGTTTGGTAATTACCCTTTGGTCAATATGACACCGGCATGAATCTTGCGGTTGGGCTTGCTGAGATTGAACTCCATGGTTGTGGGCTGAAAAGTAGCGTAGAGCGGGAAGAATGGCGATTTCTCAAAGTTGAGTATGTGTGAGTGTAAGTGATAGTGACCTAAATGCTTGTGGTCTCTTCGAATGGTAAGGCCATTGGAGTGGCGTGAAGTGGAATTCTTATAACCACTTACACGGACAGAAGATGCCATAGCGCAAGACCGAAGGGCTCAATGCGTCCGTGCGGCCGGCCCGTACCGGAGTAGTTGCACGGCTGTTAGATCCGAGTGGGTCCGGAACTTAGGTCGACTTACGACCGAACTCAGTCAAGAAACACGGACCAACCTTGGCTTAACATTGCATTGAGATGGCTGGCTGGAGATTTGGGCTGCATAACTTCCGAATCCTCAAAGGATTAAAGCCATGAGTTACCGGGGAAATTGTAAACAATCAATTCCTCCCGGGGCGGAATTGGACTCCGAGCGACGGAGACGTCAATGTATCGCAGGTGGTGCACATGGGTTAGCATTTCAACGGGACCGTTATTGATACGTGGGAGAAATGAAATCGATCTTCATTTGCTTGAGTTGATAACTATATGTATGTTGTTCGCTAGGAAGCTATGCGGGAGAAAACTATTACCGCAGGTGCAGGTTCTTTCAATTCTGACTTAAAACTCTCAAATGACTCCCTCGAACCGCTTGCTACCAATGCCCGCTCTTTGTCTTCCTTTGTCCTCTCAAGCCTTCTGTTGTATTCATCTTGCGGTATTCCGTAATAGTGATGTAAACGATGATCGTCAATAGGAGAAGACCCACGACGACGGCGACAGTTACAGTGCCGGTGCTGTTAGCTGATGAACCTGAGCTCGCTGGCTTGATGCCATTTGTGGCTGATGTAGATGACTGGGAACGGTTAGTCTCGAATGGATGCCACATTGGCTTGAAATTGAGGGCAATCCTCACATTTGAAGTTGCTGTAGGGTGCACGGAGGGGTGGTTGTGGTCTCGGGACATGACAAAGGATGAGCTAGCAGAGTGCCGTATGAAGACGGACTTTCGTGCACGACTGATATGATGACCCTTTTGAATGCCTGTGTGTGAGAGAGTCAAGGAGTTCTGTGGCAATGAGTGTGACAATGGGATCTTCAGGGTATGATGTCTTCAGAAATAGGCGATGAGGTAACGTCTCCGGATGCTAGAATGTGTGGCTTCGGCTAATGGTATTTAAGAGGAATCCCATCGCCATTTGATACCTCTTCGTACGGCTCTGTCAGCCATTTCACGTGGCAAACCAAGCCATAAACTCGTCGAACGCCGCAAGAGTTGTGCTTGCAGTCATCCATCTTAAATGCTTGAGGTGAGAGGCTCAAAGCACCATAGTCATCGCCGCCACGGTCGAAGAGTGCGCTCTCATGGGCGTCAAGTCACCGCATCCATCGAAGCGAGCCTCAAAGAAATGATCGAATTCGCTTGCAAGCGCCACATGGGAGTTTCAAGCCGCCCACTTCACTTCATGGCTCGTGTCAGTGGACACTTTGGGCCCTCCAGCTTGGCACGTAGTCAGAAGACAACGCCACTGCTGTGAGAAAACCTGTGCATCATCTTGCTGGGCTAATGAGAGTGAGACCAGCTGGCACTGACTGTATGCTCGCGTCAATAAATAGGCGAATCATTTCTTTCCCTCAAAATTTATGGCCACTCGTGGATTGTCGCTGAAGGGAGGCTGCTTACATCATGTCCGTTGACTGCATACCTACTTGGTGCACGTCTCTCGGAATGAGCCGGATTTGGGCTCGCCGAAGAAGCTTGGCTGATCTTCCAAACCGGGCACCTCATATGATACTCGCGGTTGAGGCTAGTCATACATGCCATTGCAAGGCCATGCTCGCCTATTCACGTTTAGAGGCAGTCAAGGTTATCTTCGTTCAACATCACACAAGTTTTATCGAGGGCCTCTCTCTTTAAAGAACTCACAGCCATCAGAAAAGATTTTTACATGAAGTCACTGGTGTTTGGTAGCCCCATCCTATCAGGGGCTAAAGAGCGATTCCGAAGATGCTCAAAAAGCATTTGGAAGACAGACGAGTCATAGACTATATTGGTGGTGTAGGTTACCACAAAATGAGCTCATAAACTGCACGCTCATGGTGGTAGGGTACGCACAAGCATGGCAGCCTTTCAGCTACACAAACGACTTCACTCTCCCAAACCAGTCCATAGAGTCCATCAGGCCCTGTAACGCTTCTGAAAGCCATGGAAAAGACCTGCTACGAGGCTAAAAGATATGTCTGATATCAGACAGCGTATGTGTGTGTTGAAAGATGAGAAAGTGGGCGAGGCTCACGATTCCTCCGATGGGTGTATTTAAGGTAGGTAAAAGGGACATTTGTAAGGCTCCTGTCGTCTTCTTGATACTTTCAACTAACTAGGTGCTGCTCAATACTCCAGCACATTGTCCCAGAAGATGAGCCTCAAGGTATATTCAGTGATCCTCTATGTGTTCATCATTAGTCACGTTGAAGATGTTTTGCAAGATATCAGGGGCTGGGAGTTACTCTCTACCTAATATTTGAGATTGCGAAAGATTGAAAAGGAGATGTACCAATACGGTAGAAGTGAAGAATAAGCCTTGCTGTCGTTGCGATGAACATCGTCTTGCCATACGCCTAGTAAATGATTTTTCCAGTGGCTTCAGGTCGTTGTCCACAGACGCCTTGGCCCTCAAGGTATATGTACCACGCGGCGTAATGAGTGGAATATACCAGTGCGCACTCATGCGAGCCTTCCCTTATACCCCCCCTCAATTCTGTTCCCGTCACCAACGGCAGCAGGCGCCTCACAGGCCTGTGAGGTCAGGTCAAACTGCCGTTTGGCGGGATGGTTACGGGCGAGCCTGTTCAACTAGCTTAGCCTAAGCCAGGATTTCAGGTTCGAGTCCCGGCATGTGCACCAGAGATGTAGCCCCCAGTTCAGCACCGGGGGGGTGAACTCTTTTGATAGTGTCTACTTTGAATTTTTGGATTCTTTTAATGACTGCCGATATAAGTCGTGGCTGATATTAGAAGGCTCTACTAGCAAAAATAGATATTGAAGTATGTATATCTCTAGTTGTAGAAAGTTCAGAAGTAGCTATATGCGAGTGACATTTTATGCTCCTTCCGTGGCCACCTACCCGAAGAGAAATTGCGCTTTACCTTGATTATGATGGCCCATCGACGTGGCATAGGTTTTCAAATAATAGCCATACTACAGGCTATTAAATCTATCCCAAAACCTTAGCGTCTTGTTTCCAGGACTAAAGTGGTTTAATCACCACTCTTCGGCTGCATCTAAGTGCCAAAAGTTGTAGATAGTGCCTTCACACCGAACCTCACCGAGCCAGGTATATATGGGCCGTGCATCATTCCCTAGTCGGTACGTACCCGCCTGTTCCTGAGTTAGCGGGGCTGTAAACAATCGATGTCCGTCTTTGCTGTCAACCATCCCCTCCAAGCTAAACCTCCAAAAACAAGCCCAATTCGACCATCGACACCACAACCAACAACACCCCGTCGCCACACGATCTCTCTCTCTCTCCCAACCCTCGAATTTGTCGAAGCGAGGAAGCCAAACACCCTTGACACTACCTCAAAACACCCCCATCACCAGAAAAGTGCAGCGCACCGCAATCAAACCTACCGACGAAAACGGGGGGTAAACAAAGCCACGCCCCACCGAGAAAACCACAACCGCAACCACAACACGATGTCCCAAAACGCAGCAACATACGCAGACTGCGTAGCCTCCCTCCGCACCTCCCTAACCTTCCTCCAAAACTCCGTATCCACCCTCGACACAGGCGTTTCTGACCTTCCCCGCCTCGCCTCCGTCCTTCGTCCCACGCGGCACTTCGAACTCATCCCCCAACCCACCCTCGCCGCCGCCGAGGCCTCGCTGCGCGACGAAATCGGCCCGCAAATCGCGAAACTCCTCGATCGCGCCGACGCGCAAATCGCGCGCCGCGAACGGCGCATCGAGACTCTGCAGGCTAGGTGCGAGCTCTTGCAGGGCCGGTTGGCTGCGCCGTCTGAGGAGGATGGGTATGGGGGCAAGAAAACAAAGGGACGAGGAGGGGGGTTCGGTGCTAGCGGAAGTGGTGGGAAGAAGGGGTTGAATGGGGAGAGTGCTTTGCGGGCGAGGGCTGTGAGGCAGAGGAGGGAAGGGTTGGAGTATAGTGTTGAGAGGCTTGAGCTGGAGGTCTTGACGAAGGAAAGGGAGTTGAGGAAGAGGTTGGATAAGGCTTGAGAGAAGGAGAGAGAGAGAGAGAGAGAGAGAGAGAGAGAGAGAGAGAGAGGGGGAGGGAGGCGCATTCTGAGTGTTGAGGCTGCAAGATGACGCCCTGGACTGGTGGCCAAGACATGTCACTTCGCTGCGAGTGTCTCCATCGTTTGCCAGCTAAAGTGACTGAGGGAAGGGCGGAAGGAGAGTGTTATGATACCCTACGACGGATAACGAAGAAGTCCTTTAATTGATGCACAATCTCCAGATTGTCAATTATGACTTACGAAGCGACTTCACACCAATAACTTGGAAAAGCCCACGTCTCCGCTACCTCCGTCTCATGACCAGCTTGGATAAGCTGTTCACTTGTTGGGCTCATAAATCCCACGCAAAGATGACACAATGTCACTGTCAAGAATATGAAGACGGAATATGAATATATGCAAATGCCATTTGTAAAGCAGCAAGGGGACCCCAACATGCATGGGTATCCCACCTGCGAGCTACCATAGCTATCCGAATGACCGACCCGTTGCTCGTGAAACCCGCCCCAGAAGACACAAAAAGAAAACACACAATCCCTCTACTCGAGCGACAATGGCAACATACACTAGCAGTAATAGGGAGAAAGCCTGCACGCAGTGGTGGGCGGATAGAAGTAGAAATAACAGGTCGAAGAAGAAAAAAAGCGAAGCCGTTTAGGCGGATATACGTGTGCCGCCTGTGGCTCAAAAGAGGCGGCAATGGTTTTATCCCGGACAAGAGACCTTAATGTACTCCAACAAGCATTTGAGCGCGAAACCGTTCCATGTCCCATATGGTCATTTTTTGCTCCCATCTCCAACGGCGAAATGAAAATCATGAGCTCATTATAACAGGATCAGGTAGTTGCTCGGCGCAATACCCGTCTCGCCCGTCTCCTTGCGTGCCTGCCACCACCTTCCACTCACGTCACTGACCTCCAAAATCTCGTGCTTTGAGAAGGAGATCTCGTTCGCGTCGTCGGGGTTGGCCTCGTAACTATAGATGGCCTTCGCGCGGTAGGGGTATTCGGTGGGGGGCACCACCTCTTGGTCAAGACCAGGAGGCTTCGCTGCAGGTGGCGCCGCGTTGAATGTCGGGGCCACCCCGGAGTTGCGGGTTTGTGTAGTGGGAATGCCCTGAACGGGGGATGGGTTCTCGAAGCCATTGAGCTGCGCCGAAGTGTACATCTGGGGAGGCTGGACCGACGTTGAGGTTTCGGGCCGACCACCGCCGTACATCATCTGTCGGTTTCCAGACTCCTTCTGGAGCGCGAAGGAATCGAGGTAAGCGCGCGGCTTCGCTGACGGGGCGGAGCCGAAGTAGAAGATCCAGACAATCTACAGGGACAAGGTCAGCATTCGATCCTCACCTCCGTAGCGGAGAACTTACGGTAACCATGGCCATGAGAATGAAGCCAGCGCCAGCAGCCTGGCGAGCACCGTTGGAGGAGTAGATGAGGGAGTGGATAGTCAGTGAGTTCAGGGACAGAGCGGCACCCAGGTATCCCGTAAGGGCGACATGATAAGTTTGCGCAGTGTCTGAAGCCACAACGACGAAGACTCCTGCGATAAGGAAGAACATGTAGACGACGGTCCACCATGCGAAGGGTGGGAATGAGCCGGAGTTATTTGTGACTTGTGTTGTCGCGATGATGGAGCTAATAAAAGCAATTATCCATGCTAGCTAAGGAGACTGTTAGTACAGACATAAACAGAAGGCCGATCTATCGA